TCACAGATGCGGAAACTGAGGCTGAGAAACATTCACCTACTTGCCTGCCCCAGGTCACAAAACAAAGCACGTTCATGGCACAGTTGGGATTCTTCCTGAGTCACTGTTCAGAGATCATAGAGATTTGGTATGAGTCACTTTTTTACTTTTTTTTTTTCTTTCCAACATAACCCCAAAACAATAGGCTGTGAACTCAAGACAAGTTGTTCCTTTTCATGAACTTCCGGGCAGTTTGAGTTTGTTTTACATTGTGCCTCTTTCTCAAAGAGATGTCCCAAATCCCAGAGATGGCACCGTGCAAACATGACCGTTTAATTCTGAATGGGGTGGCTCTGTCTTACAGATTTTGAGTGTACCCCACAACAGCTGGAAGAAAAACTAGGTAGAAACAGCGCTGAGACAGGAGTGAACAGCCCCCTCCCCCTCTGCCCTACCCAAGCCAGGAAGCGATTTCACAACCCCCACCCCTCCCCTTCCTCTGCTTGGCTCAAATTCAACCCCAAGCGGGAACAGGATGGTGATCATTGTTGCTCCATACCTGGTTCCCCTGAGTTGGACCCAGGCAGATATAAAGCCACTTCCCCAGACCAGAGGGACCCAGAAGGAAGCGAAAAGAGTCACTATGTCCTTCAGGAGCCGAGAGCCCCACCAGAGGTAGGTCACTATCCTGTCCAACTGGGCAGGTCTGGAGGTAACACAGACACTGCTGGACCAATTGAAATGGCAGGGGCCTACGCAGTCCAGAACAACTGACATCCACCCCCTTTCACACACACCTACAGAAGTCTCAGGTGGGACTCAGTGGCCAAGACTAACCAGGTGGTGTCTAGTTCTATTGGGCCAGGGAGCCATTGCTGGAGGTCCCAAGCAGATAGGAGACCCCCCAACCCCCTAGAAGGGGTGCCTACTATAGAGCACCATCTCCCAAAATCAAATGCCCGCTCTTGGAGCTGCCCCATGTAGAATGTACTTTTCATGTCCACAGTGACAGTTTGCACCTGGAGCCCTGGATTGGTGGGAGTCATTCAGCTCACCAGTGTGGATACTCCCCTGTGCCTGGCTACATACTAACAGATACTTAGGATCCAGATGGTGCTTCCCTCAAGGACTGTCCGTGCTCAAGGGGAGATGGAGCTGGACACTAACATTCTAATCCTGTGTGGTCAGGGCTATAAAGAAAGGAGTAGCCTAGAGAGGCAAGCTGAGAGCAGGGCATGGGAGCTGGGGCTTTGCAGGCTGAATAGGAATCCACAGGTTCCGTCTTCAAAACACTAATCCAAGAAGATGGGAACTGACCTGGAAAACCAGGCAGAGGAGAATAGACAAGATGGGCAGGAAAAATTAGTAGTTCATTGGGGCTGAACTGGTAAAATGGAAGGGTTGTTGTTAAGTGTTCTCAAGTCTGTTCTGACTCATAGCGACCCTGTATAAGGTTTCCAAGGAGTGGCTGCTGGTTTGAACCGCTGACCTTGTAGTTAGCAGTTCAGTGCTTATCCTACATTACCACACCGGGACTTCAAAAAAAGGGGAAGGGATAGCATTTAAGAATCAGATTCAGAAACTTTAGTATCATAGAATTAGAATTCTCCCATTTTGAATGGGGTCACTTCTGTCATCTGTGGTGGGCAAGAGTGGAAATCAAGACGAAGAAGTGACAGTTATAAATGAAAAGGAAGTAGACCGACTTGGTACAGGTAGATTTTGACCTGGTGGTGCTGTAGGATAAGCACTAGACTGCTAACTGCAGATTTGGCTTTTCAAACACACTACTTGCCCTGGTAGTATCAGGCTGCGAACCTCATGGTCAGCAGTTCAAAACTACCAGCTGTTCCACAGGAGAAAGATGAGGCTTTCTGCTCCTGTAAAGATTTACAGCCTCGGAAACACTATACAGGGTCACTATGGGTCAGAACCGACTCCATGGCACATAACAACAAAGTCACCCTTTAGGAGAAAGATGAGGCTTTCTGTTCCCATAAAAATAAACCCTATACAGGGTTGCTATGAGTTGAAATCGATTTGTTGGAACGAGTTTGGTTTTTGATGGGTTTTGTCCACCTTGACTTGTTAAAAATAAATGACCACATTCCAGGAGGGCTCTGTCTTTCTAGAACCCCACTCCTATTGCTGCTCTCCGTCTTGACCCCAAGCCTCAATGCTTGCCTGGTGAACAATTCCACCAATGGCAGTTCCGTCTACTGCCACCCACCTGCAGAAATCCTCATCCGCCTCCCAACCAACACTGTCTACCTCTCGGTGGAGTTCTTCAATCTGACCCAGCTGCCATCCAACATCCTCCAGGGCGCCTCCAACCTCCAGGAATTACACCTCTCCAGTAATCAGCTGGAAAATCTCTCAGCTGAGTTTCTGCTGCCTGTTCCTCAGCTGAAGGTACTGGATCTGACCCGCAATGCCCTGGCCCAGCTGCCGCCTGGCCTCTTCCAGGCCTCAGCCGCCCTTCACACCCTGGTACTGAAGGAGAACCATCTAGAAATCCTAAAGGCCTCATGGCTGAACGGCCTGAAAGCACTGCAGTATCTGGACTTGTCAGGGAATCGCCTCTGGACGCTGCCCCCGGGGCTACTGGCCAACTTCACAGCCCTGAAAACCCTTGACCTTGGCAATAACCAGCTGGCGACCTTGCCCCCTGATCTGTTGAGGGGGCCGCTGCACTTGGAACGGCTGCACTTGGAAGGCAACAGATTGAAGGAGCTGGGCAAAGACCTCCTGGCACCCCAGCCTGGCCTGCAGTTCCTATTCCTACAAAACAACAACCTGACCAGTGTGGCCGCCGGCGCCTTCCGAGGTTTGCAGAAGCTGGACATGCTGGACCTCTCTGGTAACTTGCTGAGCAGCGTGCCCACAGGACTCTGGGTGTCCCTGGGGCGGCCAACTCGTGCAATGAAGGACGGCTTTGACATCTCTGGCAACCCCTGGGTCTGTGACCAGAAGCTGGTTGACCTTTATCACTGGCTCATGGCCAACAATGACACCATGTTCTCCAGGAAGGACACGTTCTGCGCGGGGCCAGGAACCCTGAAGGGGCAGCTGCTCCTAGAAATGGCCAGGTCCCAGTGAGGCTTGGAGATGGCATTGGGGGGACGCTGAACCCCAGTCTGCCAATAACCCCACCTACGAGGTGTGCATATATATAGGTTCTTCCATAGTTAACCTGACCTCTTTGAACCCACGTTTCCCAAAATACATCTTGGGCTTGTTGCCTTCCTCATCCTTGCTCCAGTTTTGTGTTTCTGTCTAAAACACCTTTCTACCCTGTTTCCTCCATCTCTTGCACTCCCCAGCCACTTCTGGCTAGGCTTTTGGGGTGTCAGTGTCCCCAGATTGGGGGACTCCCTGAGTGCATGTCCTGGAGCTGAGTTCTCTCACACCCAGAATCATTCAGCTTGCGACTGGATCCGAGGGGTTGAATAAAGAACATGAACACATGTAAACAAATGCATATTCATTGGTTGCTTGCTGCTCCCAGTTGGTTTTTCTAGGCCTCCAGGATGAAGGAGGGATGAGGAGGGGGATCCAGGGCTTGTGGGGCAGGACATAAGCTTCCCAGTTGTTGGCAGTTACGGTCTGGTGGTTCCTGTCTCCTCTTTCTACCCCCGCCCCATTCCAGGACTAAACTGAAAAATACACCTCTGACCACGGCTGGGTGTCATTTTACTAGTGGACTTCTGCCAGAGTCTGTGTCCAAGGGAGGGTTTAAATTAAACTAGCTTGCTTCACGTCTCCAAACAATTTGTCCTGCTGGCCTGTGATCACTTAGGGGGTTCCCACTGAGGGCAAGAGGGGCAGGCTCGCTGGGGCTGAAGGAAAGGGCAGGTCGTGAAACTCAGACCCCAGAGCCACCTGCCAACTCAGGGTGTGATGGGGGCTGAGGTCAGATTTGGGGGACCCTGGGTGCAGTAGTTGAGGGTTCAGCTACAAACCAAGTAGTCAGCGGTTCGAACCCCCCAGCTGCTCCAGGAGAGGACAATGTGGCAATCTGTTTCCGTAAAGATTTACAGCCTTGGAAAGTCTGCGGGGCAGTTCTGTATGCTGTAGGGTTGCTGTAGATTAGATTCAACTCAATGGTCTAGAATGTTGGGGCATTGGATAGTAAAAGAGTGATGCCCACTTTTTTCCAGATGCCCTGGAAGGAAGATGGGTACCCAGGTTGGTGTGATAAAGAGAACTGGGTTTGAGTCAGTTTCCTCCCTCCCTGTATATTCTGGAACAAGTAGTTTAAGCCTTCTGAGCCTTAGTTTACTCATCTATAAAGTAGGGATCTGGTAGCATAGTAGTTACGAATCGGGCTGCGAACCTTAAGGTCAGCAGTTCGAAACTACCAGTTACTCCGTGGGAGAAAGATGAGGCTTTCTGCTCCCGTAAAGGTTTACAGCCTCGGAAACCCTGTACAGGGTCCCTATAGGTCGGAACCGACTCAACGGCACTTAACAACAACAACAAAGTAGGGATCCCAGGGAATGGGCTGGTTGGCTCTTGGCCTAACTAACCACCAACAACAAAATTTTTTGTTTTGGAATGGAGTCAGACTCATGGAAACACTATGTGTAGAGCAAACTGTTTGCACTGGACTATTAACCTAACTCTTGGGGGTTCGAATCCTCCCATCAACTCTGAGGGAGACGGGCCTGGCGTTCTGCTTCTGTTAAGATCACAGCGAAGAAGACCCTAAAGACGGTTCTACTCTATCATATGGGGTCGCCATGACGGTTTAGTTAAGTGGTCACTCACTGCCATCAAGTCTTGCGACTCAAAGCGACCATATATGACAGTGTCCTCTTCTCCTTCTGAGTAGTTGGCAAATTCAAACTGCTGAGTTTGTGTTAAATGGTAGATTTAAAAAAAAATTTTTTTTAATTAAAAGAAAGGCATTGGGAACTTGCCCAAGGTCACTCAAGGAGCGGGCAGAGCAGTAATAGCTTTGCATTGTCTCCGCCACACGGCAGGGAGGGTGACAGGAGGCAGAAATCTACGCGGGACAGAAGCAGCGCCGTCCGCGGCATGCAGCGTCTCTGCGTTGCTACGGCAAACGCCAGGCGCTCCCAGAGTCCCAGGGGCAGGCGAGGGAAACCTGCAGCTCTGTCCCATAGCCAAGCCCCACCCAAACCCCGCCCCCTAGCACTCCTTCTTCATTGGCCAGTCCCAAGGAGGCCACGCCCACCGAGCTACTATAAGGCAGGTGGGCCAGGCTGCAGGGGTGCGACTTGAACGAGTGATTGGGGTCCGGGGAGGTATCGGAGGGCTGAGACTTTGCGTGCCCAGGTGAGCGGTGGCCAGGAGCATCCCACAGGCTTGTGAGGGAACCCTGGGCCTGGCGGGAATGGGTCCAGGAGCGTGGAGCGAGGGGCGGGGCGACGGGGGCCCGCAACAGATGTGTGAGACCCTTGGCCCAGTTGGCATTGGTTCAGGACCCAGTTGGGCGGAGACCAAGGCTTAGAGGGAGGACTTGGGGTGGAGCGGTGGGGGACTAAGGGGGAGGGGGTGTGAAAGAACCGCAGGCGGCGAGTTGAAAGCCTGAGGTTGTACTCCAGGCTCTGACCCTGGCTAGCTGAGTGACTTTGGGCCTAGCAAAAACCTGTTGAATGCCTCAGTTTTCACTGTCTGTCAAATGAATTGTGGATTTACTGGGATTCTGTAGCTACCACCCCACTCTGGCCTGGGGCTGCTTCTCTGGGGCAGGGGCAGCAGTGACCCCCATTTTACAGAGAGAATACAGCCCAGAGATGTGAAGGTACTTGTCCAAAGTCACACAGCAGGTGATGCCAGAATTCAAACTCATATTGCTCTGAAGACTCCTTAGCCGTGTCCCTACAATGGGCCGAGCCATTGGCTGAGCACGTCTTTGCCCCTCACCACTCTCTGAGGTCGGTATTGTCATGACCCCATTTTGCAGATGAGGAAACTGAGCCCCTAAGAGAGCACATGAGCCTCGCTCACAAGGACAGAGCTCCAGGTCTTGGCAGTATCAGCAAGATCTGGCATTCAGGGACTCCCTTGCCTCTGTCCTGCTCTCGCAGGTGATCCTGTTTGTAGCAGACATGTCTGAAAATGAGGCGGCTCAGAATTCCAGTCCCAGATTGTCGGAGGAGCGGGAACAGCAGGTGAAGGGCTGCTCCTCCTATGGAGGGGCCTAGGGATGGTGGGGACTGTTCCTCCTGGACTCTTGCAAACTGTCCCCTTCCACATCTACCCTTGCTGGGAGCACTTGACTATAGGAGCATTTGGCACCATGGGATGGGCTGATACATACATCCTGCCCATTTCCTCCGTGCTGCCCAGTGAGGCCCAGGGAGGGGAGTGTCTCCTAGACCACTTAACCTGCCTTCTGCCCGACTCTCCCTCTCCTACCACTGTGTCCCTACCTCTATCCATCTCTTGGTTTCTGTGTGTCATCACAGCACCCTTTAACAACAACAATGCCAGCATGTACTTGGAGTCGGTCAGTCAGTGTTCCACATGTTTCACATATATTGATCCATTTAATCTCCATTACAAGGAGTTCTGGTAGCGTAGTGGTTAAGAATCAGGCTACAAACCTTAAGGTCAGCAGTTCGAAACTACCAGCTGTTCCGCGGGAGAAATATGAGGCTTTCTACTCCCATAAAGATTTACAGCCTTGGAAACTCTGTACAAGGTCGCTATGAGTCGGAACAGACTCCACGGCACATAACCACCACCACCAATCTCCACTAGGGAGTCCTAGTGGTACAGTGATTAAACATTTGACTGCTAACCTGATGATGGGGGTTCAAACCCACCAGCAGCTCTGAGGAAGTACGATGTGGCAGTCTGCTTATGGAAAGATGGACAGCCTTGGAAACCCTATGGGGCAGTTCCACTCTGTCCTATATTATCTTTAAGCATCAGAATGGACCTAACGACAGTGCATGGGTAACATCCTAGGAACCCATTTTACAGATGGGGACGCTAAGACACTGAGTAGTTAAGGCACTAGCCCAAGCTCACACAGCTCGCGGAAGCAGCTCGAATCACAATTGAATCATGTTCCAAAGACCATGTTCTTTGCCTCTAGATGAGAATGTCTCCTCCCTCAAACAAATTATTTCAGAATTTGTAACTCTGTTTATGGTCATCTCACCAAGAAGAACAGGAGGAGGGGAGGGTGACTATCCTAAATTTGTCTGCCATTTCATTGTCTGAACACACTGTGAGACACTCGCTACACCTGTCCCCAACTACTTTTCCGCTTGACCATTTCACCTGGCCCTGGCCCAGAGAGGGGAGATGGACACAGGTATGCCTGACGCCACCCCTCCCTGCAGAATGTGGTGCAGCGTGTGGTGGCCCTACCCCTGGTCAGGGCCACCTGCACTGTGGTCTCTGATGCTTACACTGCGGCCAAGGACAAACACCCGCTGCTGGGCTCTGCCTGCCGCCTGGCTGAGCATTGTGTCTGTGGCCTGACCTCACGAGCCCTGGACCACGCCCAGCCACTGCTTGACCACCTACAGCCTCAGCGTGAGTCCCCCGCAGTGCCCCGTGGTGCCCCACTGTCCTACCCTTCCTTGGTCCATGTGTATGACATACCCTTGGGTGGACTCCCTGAAGTGACCCCTCTGTCTACTTGTCTTATCTGCCTGTGGTCTGTTCCCTGCCAGTCAGTCCCCCATCCTGTACCCAGACCTTGCCCTGCTCCCTCACTGGTCTGTCCCTCAGTCCCCCAGCTTGTCCCCTCTCCCCCAGTCTGTTTGCTTGCCCTATCCCTTTCCCATTTGACCACTGACCTCACCCTTACCTGTGCTCTGTGGCCCCTTCTCTTGGCTTTGTTCCTGCTCCATTGTCCACAGACCCACACACCTTGGGTCACTTTGCCCATCTGTCCTCCCTCACTTGTCTACCTGTCTGCCCCTCCTCCTTCCTCCCCTCCCCCCCCCACCCACCATATACTGGGCTCAAGTGCAGGACTTCAAAGTGGCAGGGGTTGGGTCAGGCATCTTGTTTGACAAGGAGAGGAGTCCCTCCTAGGGTCCCCAGCTCAGGACCTTCCCCCCCCCCACCCCACCCCCGCTCCCTTCTTAGTGGTTGCTGTGACCTTGAATTTGTCTGCTGGGACGTCTGTGCTGGACAAGCAGAGGAGTCACCTTGGTGTGTGGGAGGTGGGAGGAGGAGGAGCCAAGCCTGGTGTCCCCCTCCTCTGCAGGCCCCTAGCCCTTTCGTGGAGCCCTTCACCTGCTGGAGACCCTAGGATCCTTCCTGTCTCTGTCTTCTTTATGCCTGTCTCTCCCTGTTTATTTCTCTCGCTCTGTCTCCCTGTGTCTCTTTCCGTTCCACTCTTTCTCTCATTGTCTCTCTCCCTCCCTCTCTGTCTGGGTCCCCATCCTGCTCTGTGTCTTCTCTATTTCCACCTCTGCCCTGTCCCTCTCTTCTCCAGTATCCACAATGAATGACCTCGCCTGTAGGGGGCTGGACAAGCTGGAGGAGAAGTTGCCCTTTCTCCAGCAGCCTTCTGAGACGGTACCCGAAGTCCAGACCATGGGATCAGCGTGGAGTGGGGGTGGGGTGGGGGGAGATGCTGCCTCTTCATGGGCAGCTAGAGCTGGGGCTGATCTAAGGCATTTGTTACTCTGAAAAGAGGTAGCAGATGAAAATAACCATGCCAACATTGATCAGCACTTAATAGACACCAATAAGCATTTAGTAATTCCCTCAACAACATTGGGGACGGGGGGGCTTTCTACTCCCATAAAGATTTACAGCCTTGGAAAGTCTGCGGGGCAGTTCTGTATGCTGTAGGGTTGCTGTAGATTAGATTCAACTCAATGGTCTAGAATGTTGGGG